CTGAATATGATTTCTTTTTTTTACAGAACAAGGGTAACAAGGATAGGAAACCTTTGCAGGTATTACAGCCAGCAGCTACTGACAATGAGATGTTAGTTGGTACTGACAGGATTCTTAGATCTACCAAATCACAAAGAGCAAAGACAAAACAGTAAGTTATTGTCAAATATTTATTATGAATGTGTAAAAGAAATAATTACAGATTCTAAAAACAGAGTGTATTCTAGGGATGTAGAAACAGTTAAAAAAGATACTTCTCAATATTTGAAAGTCACAAAGAAAAACAAGGCTGTTCAGACTGCATGGGATAGAATAAAAATTAAAGATTTAACATCCACAGGTATCCACCTACTGAAAATATTTTTTTACTTTTCATATTTGTGTATTTCTAATTTGTTTTATTTATAAAAAATTAAACATTTAATTAAGTATTAATTTTATTTGATTCAGATAATCCTAGTGAAAACTATTGGCAAATCCTAGCTGACAGAAGACAAATTGCGCTTGTAGATGCTTTAGAGGAAAATAAAATACTTGTACAACGTATTGCAAAAAAAGAAGAGGAAATTCGTGTTTACAAAGAAATGTTAGAAGAGACAAAAGCACTTGCTGAGACATTACAGGTAATGTTATTTATATTACATTGTATTTTAATATCATATTTAACATCAATCCTTAATCTACATATTATATATATTTTTATTGTAGGAGTTATACAAAGAAGATAAAAATGATGTAAATCATTCATTAGATGACAGCAATCTTTGATTTGTATTATTGAATTTCTTAATTAAACATAAAAAAATTAATATATTAGTAATTGCTGATAATTTATAAAAATTATACAATATTAGAAACATAATATTTAAAATATTCTTTAGCTTTAACATAGCAATTTCAGCCATAGCAATTGTTTAATCATTTGAATGTAATAGAAAAAAATAACATTTTTTTAATAAAATTATTTTAATATTCCCCAAAGATGTACAAGTTAGTGGTTTTTTACACATATGGTTAGTGTAAAAAGTATGAATTTTTTTATTATGTAGTGATGATAGGAAGATAAAATATAATATGTTATTTATGATATCTAATACAGCAAAAAGCAATCATATCTCCAATAAATGTATTTCAAATGTCAAGAAATTAAATAGATGTAATAACATAAATAGCTGTTAAGAATTTTTTAAAAAATCATTGAATGACAAGTATGAATCTAAAATAAAAAATTTTTATACATTTTATATCTGTGTATTAATTTCTTATATTTATTTTATAATAATAATATATATTAATCTGTTTTTAAAAGAAGTATCAATGTAAAGCCCATTGCTATCATCTCTCAAAATTTATTGTTGCCTCTTCTTCGCAATTGGTTCTCTCTCTGCGCTAACTTGGTGAACGATTGTTGCGGAGATCATTTAGATATTGTATTGAAGATATTGTGTTGAATGTATAAAAAGTTAATAATATAATAGTATTGTATTAATTTCTGCTCCTTCTATTTAAAAAAATATATAACGCGTGTAGTTGTGTTGTTTAGTCTTATGAAGAAATGATATAAACTTGATTTAAAATTTAATATGGATATTTAGTACACATTAAACAAAACATGAAATAAAAATTATTCAAAGAGATTTTCCTTAAAAAGTAAGCTAGAGAAACTTTTAATAATTTTACAACTCTCTTTTGAAAATTTCTAAATTAAAACATTTTAAGTCTTGTGAAATAAATTTTTTTTTTACAAACCTTTTAAACTAAAATAATTTTGAATTTTGAATTTGAATTATAATTCACGGAGAATTTTAATCGATGTTTATATTTTAATATTTTTATATATCTTGAAAATTTTTATTCATAATTACCGCCATTAATTGTGAGGAAAAACAACATGGTAATCAATCTTTCACTTTAATTTCCAGTAAAATGATCGCTTGCTTGGTTCAGTTACTGCACCTGTAAGCCTTGTGTTTTATTAGAAGAGCAAGCAGATGATTGGTCGTCGTCTCGCTGCATGGCTGCTTTACTGCGTCCTGTAGAAGCCATTGCACAATATAACGTCTCTTCGATATAGTTGTTGCATTTTGTTTAATTCTATTTTATACGAACGTGTGTGAGATCCACAGATTATATTTATTTATTTATTTATTTTTTCTGTGCTGTTGATATCAAAATGTCAGAATATGACAAGGTGCGAACGGGAAAATTAGTTTTAAAAGGCGAGAAATCAAGGTACATATCTCTCCTTATCGTCATTGACCATTGTTAATCAACCGTTTAAAATTCAATGTATATTCATATATCATCAATATTATTCATAGATTTTTTTTCTTTTTAGACCAAAGAAACGAAAATCTAAGAAACAGGAGAAAGAACTGGATGTCACTGTAGATAATAAAGATACTCTCACTCATGGTATTTAATAATCATTCTGCATAAGACAAACAATGCATGACATATTTTTACAATAAATATATATAAAAAAAATCTTATTTTACAGGAGGATGGTGGAAAGTTAAGAATGTACTTGAAATCACTGGTACAGTGGCCATTGAATTTGGAAACCAAACTTATATGAAAGCACTCGACAATGGATTGTTTACTCTTGGAGCACCGCATGTCGAAGGAGAAGGTCCATCACCAGAGGAAATTTTAACAGCATTTCCTGTCAGCGAAACCAAAGTTGCTTTGAAATCAGGATATGGCAAATATCTTGGCGTCGATAAAAATGGTGTTGTTATTGGAAGAAGCGATGCAGTTGGTTCTATAGAACAGTGGGAACCAATCTTTCAAGTAAGTTTCATATATATATATATATATATAAAAGAGTAGATATAAATATTAAATTATATTATATAGCATAACTTAATCTAATCTAGAATATTTGAAAAATATTTTAATATTTGTGATTTCAGAATTTTGATACTTTATTCCATTACTTGTTAAATATGGATCTAACCTAATTTGCTTATTTTTCTGTCTGCATACAAAATACACACACATACACACATTTAAGTTTATATAAAATTATATATATTTCTTATATATTTCTTAGATTTGTATTATTTTCTAGGATGGCAAGCTTGCAATACTAAATAATACAGGATGTTTTATATCAGTTTCAAATGATGATGATATAACTTGTCAAAATAGAACAGCTGGTCCATCAGAGTTTGTTGTTATAAGAAGTATAATACAACGTTCTCAAAGTCCTAGTAAAGATATACCAAAAGAAGAACAAGGTACACTTGCAGATGTTGAAGTAAATTATGTGTAAGTATGAATTTTTATGTATAATTATATGATTATATGTAATTATTGAACATAAATATCTATATTTTTTATTAAAACTTTATATTTGGCTTATTGCTTTTATTAATTTTTTTATTCATTAAACTTCTTTCTATTTTAAATCAAGTTTAAAAGCATTTTATAATTTAATTAATATTAATATTAATATTAATAAATTTATAATATTAATATTTTAATATTATATATTATATATTTTAATATTATATATTATATATTTTAATATTATATATTAATAATTTTAATATTAATATTTAATTTTACAGACGAAAATTTCAAAAATTTCAAGATAAAAAGTTAAGAATAAATAAATCTGATCATTCCGAGTTGGAAAAAGCAAAAACAGAAGGAAATTTGCATGAAATTTTATTAGACAGAAGAAGTAAAATGAAAGCAGATCGTTATTGTAAATAATTAATAAAGCTTTTTGTAAATAAAATATTGTAAATAAAATTAATTAAAATGTATTTTATAAAAAATGTATTATTTTCTTTACCTAGTTATTTATTATTATTAAAACAGAATTTCAAAATAAAAATACTAAATATATGTAAATTAAATATAAAAAATATATTTAAAACGAAGTATCTTCGTATATTTAAAAAATATTAATTTGTTGTGTTACATGTATATAAAAAATACAGGACAATATTTAAATTTATTGAATTGTTGGAATCTATACAATTTTATTTTATAAAATTCTTAATTTTATAATAGAAAAATCTATTATAACTGTAATACAAGAAAAAGAAATTACTAATGAACAAACATTACAAATTCCAAGAATTAATGAAATAAAATGAGACAGTATACTGTCTAAAATTATATTTATTATAGCTATTTTTTGCATGAAAGATGAAGTTGTAACAATGTATTTGATATAAAAAACATACTCCATATCTAAAATATAATTAGATATATATATAAAATTTCTCTACGTATACAAATCTTAAGTAAAATTCAATGTCACAAACCAGATTGTGATATTTCATACAAAAAATCGGAATGTGCTTAATTCTCTGATGAATTATAAAAATTATATTATACTTTGGCTAGGTTGGCACATTTTATAAAGAGATTCACAGAGAAATATTCATAAATCATCTATTCATTTATACAATAAAAAGATACTACAAACAATATATATATTTCTATATATTTATAAATGTATATATTTTGTGTGAAGTGACTGATTCTAAAAATATCACATAAGGCCAAAACTTGCTAAAAATTTTCGCATCCAAAGATGTGGAAAATAATTACATGGAAAATCTTTACCAAGTTTAGTCCTTAGTTAATATTAAAATCAATAATTTGTATGCCTGGGGATAGGATAACGCAATACTAAAACACTGTCAGCCGATATGATAGGCAATACATTGTCACAATGATGATTTACTAGATGACTCACGCTATCAAATACACGATCTTTTGTGCGAACCTGTAAACAAAGATTTGCATCGCTTTGATTATTGTTTATTATAACTTTATTAATGCAAGTTTAAATTTATAATTGATAAATATTTTATATGAGAAGTTTTTAGAGATTGCAATCTTTAATTTTTGCACTAAATTCATTATAAAGTATTTAATGAAATACTTACAACACCTTCAGGATCAATCAGTAATAAATGTTTTGGGATATTATTATTCATTCCAGTTAAAACATACTGGCCAGGAGAACCTTGTTTTGATTCTCGAACCAAAAAATCGCCATCCTTACGAAGAAAAATAAAACAAATGATGAGAGATAAATTCATATATATATCAAATTATAAATAAGATTTATATTCTTTAATATAATTACTCTAGTAAGCATGGATTCTGCTTCAGATCGACTAACACTTCCATGAAACCATATCTCTTGTTTCAATTGCTCCTTTTGTGATCGAGGGCTTAATTTGTTCATATCTGATATTGCAGAACTGAACGGTTCTGTGATTTTATAAAAAGAAAAATTCGATATAAATTATAAATTACAAATAAGTTTACAAAAAATTTTTTAAAATAGAATTTTAATATTAATTTTATTCATTTTATATAATATTCTCATGATTGTAATATCATAAGATCTAAACAAATTATAACTTTATAGCAATCAAAAGTATTTTATTTATAATTATAAAGTTATTAATTATAATTAATTATAAAGTTTTGAACTTTTATTAAAAGTAAGAATAATAAAACGTAATTTTCTTAATTTTCTTACGCATATCGAAAACATCAAAAAGTGATGCTGGATCACGATGATTGTCTCTGTTTGCAGCTATAACACTGTCATTTACGTAATTGTGTTCAGACATATTTAAATTCGTTGATGACGATATAGTGCTATCTGAGTTCAAATCAATTAGGTTTCCAGTTTCTGAAAAAAATGATGTAAAATAGAATATAAAAAAAAATTTGTACGTAACAATTAAGTTTTTCTTTTATTCTGCGTCAAAAATCGTTTTACCTGCCAACTGCTGATGCCTATCTGCAGTAGCTGAAAATGAATCAACTGCGATATTTTGTGCGTGAATGCGCGACGCGTGATTTTGATGGTGCTTCAGATTAGGCAGTGTGGACGCTGTAGTAGGCAAAGGAGGTACTGGTGGTGGTCCAATATCTGGCGGTACTTTTCCTGGTAAATCGTTGTAATAATCTCGATCTGCTTCTCTGACACCATTTAGCACCGGACTAAATCAAAATAAATATGTAAAGTTACAAATAAGAACTATCGTAATTCTCGAGGTATAAAATGCGCTCATTTTGACAGTGAAACTTACTGCAGAGAACTTGGTTTTGTAAGAAACTCTTTAAATCTAAGTTCGAATGCTTGACCAATAGTAGATATAACATCCTGTGCTAAACCACCTGTACATTCAAGGACATAACATGCACGCCATTCTTGCATGTTTTTAGCAACGTATGCAACAAAATCCAGTATTTCCTGTTATATATTTAAATGTAACTTTAATACAATTTCAAGAGAATAAAAATAGTGACTAGTGCTCACATTGCATTTATCAAAAAATCTATACAAATATGTTATGTACATATTAAAACATATAAAACATAGTAAACAATGTGCAAATTTACCGTATCCCCACCAGAGGCAAAAGATATACGTGGCATGTCATGCTTAGCAATAATGTGCCCAGTTTCGATATTAGTCAAGGATAAACTGCAACTGCTAATACTCAAATTAACAGTGACAGCACTATGTTCCAAGCAAGGCTTATCTGCTATAGCTCTCAACACTTTCCTGTCAACCTGTTTGAAAGACACTTAATGAGAATTGTAAACATAAATATAATCGTTTATAAATATAATTTTATATAAGAGCTAATACTCTTCTTTTTTTGTCAGCAGATTTCAATCCGGCAGCTTCACAGACTCTATTTATACATTCCCTAAAACAAAGATATTTATTGAATATTCACATAAAAATATAATAGTTGTAATAAATTATAATTCAAATGTTTGTAATAACTTACTTGGCAACGCATGAACGTGTTTCAAAATCTAAGCTTTTCATAGATGTATATACTTCAAGACATCCAATATACTGTAATTTTTTATATAGACAAAAATTAAATAAAGAAATCAATAAATTGAATCAACATAAATCTTTTCATTCCAATTCTCAAAATAATTTCCGACTAATTTTGATCTATAACACTTATTGTCTTTCCTTGTTATTTCAAGGACACTTTACCTTAAGAATATTTGCGCTTTGATAACAATGATAGGATTTTACTTTATATCTTTTTGAAATAAAAATTAATATAAAATAAGCAAAAAAATAAATTTTTTTAAAAAATTTTGATAATATTCATAATGATAGAAACTATTTTTATTTATTTTCTGTCAAGACATAAATATTCCTAAGCAAAATATTATGCTTAATCTAGGATCGTTAAGCATATTTAAACAAACATATTTCAAACAAAATAATAAATAACTTACCCTCACTGTATAGTTAATTCCTTCCTTACTTACTAGGTGATCTGGATGTAACCATCCTCTGGCTGGTTTACTGATAAAACTACTACCACCTGTGGCCATTGCTAAATTAAAAAAAACAAGTGTCATTGGCATATATACATCTTTTAATATATTAAGACAACACAAAGTCCAAAATCAGGACATAAGACATATTATGTTTTAATTTTGGACTTTGTATTGTCTAACATTAATTCCAATCATTTAATCTGAATTAACACTCCTAATCATTTACGAATATTGTCAAATAAATACATCCGACAATCCTGGGAGGATACGTTAAAACGTTAAAATTTGACAGATAAAGTACAATACGCAAGATGAGAAAATTAATTGTCGTGAGCTTCTCTAACAGCGGATATGTATTATGAGTCATTAATCTTTTCACATCTTTCGGAAGGGTGTCGAGATGAAAATACGGTGCGTTTTATCGGGCTCAAAGTCAACGCGAGGCGAAAATAAGTCACACCCAGTGCGATTTATTGACATTTCGCGAATTGTCAATATCAGATCGTGACATTCGGTTTGCACCGAATGAGATCACGTTACCTGATGAACGATTCCTGTGATCGACCACCAGCGATCGGATTGTTTACCAACTGGACAATGACATGTCGATCATTGCACCAAAAATATCTGATTACCAATAAGCCACGAATTATCACTGCTGGCTTCACTGATTACTCTGACGTCTATCGAGCCCATGAGAGTTAGATCATTGACACATACACGTACACCATAGGCATGATTAGGCGTGACTACTCGACGTGATCGCATACGCACGTAGTTATTTAAAACTTGCTTATAATGCTGACGTTTGATTGGCTGGATTCAACAGCATATGCCAATCAACTTTGAACAATCGACACATCGCAAAATATCTCAGGTTTGTTCATTTTACTGTATTACGTGTATTTCTATCATAGATGTAAGAATATATAGAGGAAAGAAAGTAAGATATGTTCATATTGATGCGTTTTTGTATCGTTTTGCGCATCGTACCAGCTTTATTTTTAAATTCCATATGTATGTTTATATGGTGTTTACATCAGTTTATATCAATTTTAAATATCAATGATTGCACATAAAAAAATTTTAATTATAAAATGTAAGCAAATTGATCAATCACGATCAATTATTGTTGGATTGCGAGGAGAACAGGCTAATTCTGATTAATCAATTTGTTTACAATTTTACGATTATAAATGTAATTAAAATGTTTTTACGTTCAATAGCTTTTACCAATAGCCGTGTTTGTCGCCAAACAATTGAATGTGATTGATTAGATCTAAAAGAAAGAACTAATCATATTTAATCGCTCGGCAAGCAGATCAACTGCTTTAATCCTGGTTTACAATAAGTGATTTAAGTCTTAATCTATAAGAAATGGACGAATCATAGTCAAAGAATAGGAGACTAATCGATTATGATTGGTCAATTTCTTATAACTAAAGACTTAAGGCTCAATTGCACCAACGTTATTTTGAATTTTAAGTGGTATTTAATATATAAAGCCAACGGCACACGATGCTTTTTTTCCTGTTGATTTGCTAGCTGGATTTGTGTGCTCGTTGAGCTCTTGTCTCTGATTGGTATATTCTTTGGATCTAAAAAAATATACCAATCGAAAACAAGAGTTCAACAAGCACGCGAATCCAGCTAGCAAATCAGCAAGAAAAAAAGCATCATGTGCCGCTGACTTTATATGTGTCACGTATATTATGTAAGTCTCGCTTAAAGCCCAAGTAATTTGGTGCAAATCATCTATTGTAAATCGGGGTGGTTGCGCCCAATTGCCCACGTTGTCGATTGGCTAATTTAAAATAAAATTATTTGATTAATTGATCCAAAAGAAAATTTCCAGGTATCGGTCGGTGGCTGTGTCCAATTGCAACGTGATTACATGGGACGCTCCCTAGATTGGGACTTATCGGCTTGAATATGACTTTAATATGAATTCACCTTAATCACCGCCTTAATTTATTCCATAGTAGATGATATGTCTATCTATTCATGAACATTGACAAAACAGTAAGCGGCATATCCGGCGCGCCGTTCGTTCCTTTTCGTTCAACGTTTGTTCGATACGGTACGTACAGAGTAATCCGTTCTAATCGACAATATAACGTGCTTCAGAGCGACGTAAGATGACTGAGACTCTACAGTTAAGAGGCACGCTTCGCGGCCACAATGGATGGGTCACGCAAATCGCGACGAATCCGAAATATCCGGACATGATTCTTTCTTCTTCACGTGGCAAGTATCGCTGTTTCAAGACGTATTTTTCTTTTTTTAATCCTTTATGTTTTTGCAGCGAAATTCTGATATCTTAATCATAGTACAGATTTGTACAGAATTGGGATTGTTTTATCATAATTTTGTCACACTACCAATTTTTATCATAATTTATTTTGTTCAATAGATTGTATATCGCATATCCCATTTGTTCAGCAGAGTTGCATGTCGCATATTCCTCTATCTATTCGTATCAAACGGCTATCAAGAGTAACTTCCGATTAATTTAATCGTCGAATTTAATGGGTAGAATTGTTTGCTGCAAAATTTAAAATTATATAATTTGTTTTCCCCAATCCAATTTTTTCATAATATTAAAGCTCAAAACATAATTTATCTTTATTGTATTAACAAAATGATATTGTTTAATAAATTGATTGCCCATTAAGTTAATCGAAGTTGCTCCAAGTTTTCAATTCTTGAAAGTGACCACAATATCTTATATATTACTATTTATCATTCTAGACAAGACTTTGATTGTATGGAAATTGACACGAGATGAAGCAAACTATGGTATCCCACAAAAACGTTTGTATGGCCATTCGCACTTTATAAGCGATGTAGTTCTTTCATCCGATGGCAACTATGCGCTGTCCGGTTCATGGGATAAAACATTGCGTCTTTGGGATTTGGCAGCTGGACGTACAACTAGGAGGTTCGAGGACCATACCAAGGTGTGACTTCGTTCTACCGCGTCGCAGTGATTTACATTTGAAAATTTTCGTAATAGACAAAAGAAAAAAAATTTTTATATTACTGAAGTATTACTTCATTATTTGAAAGATTTTTTCTCATTTGTTTGTTACGAAAGAAACGAAATTTTTTCGTGCGAAATACAAAATATACTGAAGCTTTTTTTTTAATATTTTTTTTTATTGAGAAATAGAAGAAGTAAGCACCGGTTAAATCGGCGATACTGTAAGTATTGGTCCGATATTGACGAATAGTGATGGTAATATATGTTGCTCTATTAATTGATTATGAGTTCTGTTTCTGTTAAATGTAGGATGTCTTGAGCGTCGCCTTCTCTGTAGACAATCGTCAGATTGTTTCTGGTTCTCGAGACAAGACAATTAAACTATGGAATACATTAGCAGAGTGTAAATACACTATCCAGGATGACGGCCATACCGATTGGGTTAGCTGTGTGCGCTTTTCTCCCAACCATGCAAATCCCATCATCGTCTCTGCAGGCTGGGATCGCGTTGTCAAAGTGAGAACAACATTTATAGTTACCAAATTTATGAAAGCAAATAAATACTAGCTTTATAAGAATGATGGATATCTTTTTTATTATTCATGATATATCTATGAGTGTTTGCGGATATGGGACTGACATTAAATGTTATTTATTCAGTAATTTATAATTGTGTGATAGACTCGTTATTAATCTTAGCGATTCGCATTTTTACAGGTTTGGAATTTGACTAACTGCAGATTGAAGATCAATCATAGTGGTCACACAGGATATCTGAATACCGTGACTGTATCACCTGATGGATCACTCTGTGCATCTGGTGGTAAAGTACGTATAACTCATCGTAGCATATTTAATACTCAATACGCTCCAAGCAACTTTGAACTTTATATTAATTCTATTTGCAGGATTGTAAAGCTATGTTGTGGGATCTGAACGATGGAAAACATCTCCATACTTTAGACCATAATGATATCATCACAGCGCTGTGCTTCAGTCCTAATCGTTATTGGCTATGCGCTGCATTTGGACCATGGATCAAGATTTGGGATCTTGAGACTAAAGAAATGGTCGAAGAATTAAAACCTGAAGTTGTATCTGCAACCAGTAAAGCAGAGCCTCCTCTTTGTTTATCTCTTGCATGGTCCACTGATGGCCAAACTTTATTTGCTGGATATTCCGACAATACTATACGGGTCTGGCAAGTGTCTGTATCTAGCAGATAGGCTCTTTAATAAAAGGCTTTAAAACCAATTCAATATTATTTATAAGTTTTGTTATTTATAAATAAACAATATAATGTAGAACGTTTGTAGTTATAGAATTACAAGACGATGTGTAGATACATTATCGTCTACAACCGACTATGATCACTACCTATTTATCTTTACTATTATTGCTAATTTTTTGGTCAAATTTTTGAAATTCTTTCTCGGCAATTTTATCCGTTTCGTCCTCCACTTGTATGACTCCAAGCACTTCAGGGATGTAAAATTGCATCATATTTTGCACGCCGTTTCTTAATGTGACTACCGAGCTTGGACAATTGGTACAGGAACCTTGCATTTTCAATTTCACAATACCTTCCTCGAAACCCTATTACAATCATGATAAATAATACATTACGTTTTGAATATAATTTAATAAATAAATTTCATTTATTAATTATATTCAACCATTCTTATAAAGATTTGAACAAAAATACTTGCCATAAATACGATGTCACCACCGTCCTCTTGCACTGTAGGACGTATTCGTGTATCCAGTAATTCTTTAATCATCTGAACAATCTCATCATCGTCTGCATTGATTTCTATAAAGGCAAATCAAGCAATCAGCATTTCATTCTTCATTAAACGTTTTGTAAAAATCAAACTGTAAACTGTACGTGTATCCGCTGCAGGTTGAGAAGTTTCGTCCATAATCGGTAATCCGCTCGCAAAAAAATCCATGACAGTAGCAAATATCTCCGGTTTCAACAATTTCCATTCTACATCTTCATCGAGTTTCGTAACCGTGATGAAATCAGGACCGAAAAATATCGCTTTTACTCCTTCAATGCGAAATAACATTTTCGCAAGCGGCGAACAATAGGCGTCCTTAGCACTTGGAAAGTCTTTCGTACAACCTTCTCCCAATACTGGTACTCCTGGAATAAATTTTAGACTATTCGGATTCGGTGTATCTTGTGTCTGGATAAACATGCTGCGTCTCTGATGATTATATATCAGAAGACTGTGTTTAGAAGACAGCATACAAACTGGAGTTTCATTGCCGTACAAGTGTCTAATACCAGTGGGAAGAATCCTGAAAATTATATATAAAAATAACTTATTATTTTATTAAATTATTCTATCGTAATATTAATTTATTGACTCAATTTCTGCAATCAATCCATTATTATATTTAGCCAAGAAATTCTGTTATATTTACATAAATATTTTACACAACATTTTTAGATATTTTGCAAAATTTGCATTTGACAAATTTGATTATTTGGATAAAGATACGCATATGGCATAAAATATATAGTTCTTCATATATGCGAGAAAAAATAACAAAACTCTGAGTCTTACGTTGAATATTCTCGCGTCGATAACGTTCTATTAAATGCAAGTATACGTTTCGCAGACAATTTACTAGACGTCCTGAAAAATGTTTATAAATTTTACTTATCATCAGTAGTATATCAGATGTATATATAATAGAAGAATGTATGTTAATTTGACAGAAAATGAATTACTCACTGCTCGCATTGCTCATTTATTAAAGTTCTATACAATGCCGGCCGGCTCGTAATCGATTTAAAAATTTTATCCATTGTCTGAACTAAGTTTTCTTCCTAAGTTGTCAAAGATCTCTCTTCTTTTTCGATGCACGAACATGCATTGCTCCGGCGATACTGCGTATCTCTCCTATTGTTGTCAAATACTAAAGAAGGAGAGTTTCTAATAAGAAACACTCTCAGAAACACTATCACATGATAGGCTATTGACTAGGGAAACAATAGAGAACACACTATCGGACAACCAATCGTGTGACTTGTATCTGAGAATTCTTATGAAAAAGTTCCACATGTACGATAAAATTTTTGAATATGTTGATTGGTTACAAAAGAAAAAATTTCGGCAATCTATAAATTTTACTATTGCACAATCAATAAAAAAATTTGTCATACGACAAAGAATATTTAAAATATTCGTCTTGTTAGCCTTAACTTTAGAACTTGCTATATAAATAAAAGTGATAAAAAAATATTCGACACAGAATAAATAAAATATTTCTTACAAAAATAAATCAATTTCCATAATCCTACTTATTAAATATTGCAAATTATATCAAATTAGTAATTTTTGCTAATTTTACGATTATAATTTTGTATTTTTATTTATTAACGTAACAACTTTCGAAACCAGTTAACCAACACAATTTAATTAAAAGTTTTATATATATTTTATTATACTTATTATTGTTTTTTTAATATTTCTATAAAAGTTGCGTAAATTTATATTACATTTTTTTATATTTATTAAATAAGTATTTGCATTTATTATTACGACAATATATAGATAAATAATTTGTTAAATAATATACAAAGTTGTTGCGCGCGGTTATAAATTTGTTAAAATAAAAATAACATAGAGTGAAAATTATATTCTGTTATTTAGTTATGTGATATACATGTGTGACCTTTCGAAATTTGTTGCGGAAGATAAGGGACGGTCCGTGCTCTCTTTCGGAGTCTAATCAAAACACATTCGCGTGAATTACTCGTGCCTGTGAAGAGCGGCGCTTTCCGATCACTCCGGTTTTTGAAGAAATATGGCGGATGTTGAGGTGAGCAAGTCACGTGGAATAAGAGAAAATTCTCGCATTACCCGTCGCCGCTGCATTATTATAATCGTTGCGTTTTTGTTGTAGCTAACAAAAGCTTTGAAGGATCTACCGAATCGAGCTCAGACCGCCAGCAAGAAGGAGCGGCGTGAGATTCTGCAAAATGTCGTCAGCGTATTGTCAAATCCCGGTAAGGATCCCGAGGGGGAGCACGCGTATAATAGATTTTACGACGAGAAATAAGCGGCATTTACGTACGGTGGACGTATATGGGAAATAAAGGAGACAGATCCCGCCCTTTCGCGCACCGTCGTAATTTCTCGATTCGCGATTTAGGCATGTTTCCAACACAAAACTGTCAAGCACTTGGTTGGAACAGTCTAAAGCGGTTTATTTATGATATTGTAATTATCACGCCACAAGTACCTTTTTCCGTCTCTTTTTATCATACTTTTAATTTGTTATAATTACAATCTATCCGGTAAATTATCATTACATATTAATTATAATGTATAATAATAGAAATTGAACTGTTCATGTCATTGGAACTTCAACATTTTTGGTTAAACAATGCTGAAGATATTTGACATATTTTTGTGAAAATTATGTAACACATGTTACAAATATTTTTAAAAGTGCGTTTGATATATTTTAATTTAATGATTTATTGTGACTGTATTGTTTTTTTTGTGTAATGCAGTTGTGCAGTTTAACTACTCAGTGAAATTGTAAAATATTTTTGTTAAACATTACTAAAGATACCTATATATTTTTGTAAAAATTATGCAACAGATATAACAAATATTAAAAAAAATATTAAAAATATTTAAAAAAATATGTTTGATATTTTTTAATCAATTGATTTGTTGAGATTATTTTATTTTTGTATGATGTAATTTGATTATATCAAAATTTTAAAATGTTTTTGTTACAAATATTACTAAAGATAGCTAATATATCTTTGTAAAATGTACTTATATAATATATGTAACAAATACTTACAAAAAATGTTTGATACATATGTAACATGTGTAGATATAAAAAATAGGTTTGATATATTTTAATCTTGTGATTTGTTGTTTTATTTTTTATGTAATGGATTTTGATTATGCCAATGAAATTTTAAAATATTCACATGTATTGTTGACTTTTTTTATTGATCACATAATTCAATGTTGAGTAATATAATTCAATAGTATAAATAAAAAATATTAACTTAAAATTTCAGATATTTTATTTTGTATTTAACTTAATTTAATTTGATTTTATACTTATCTTAAAAATAGAGATACAACTTTATTTTTTTAAATAACAAAATATTTTATAGGTGAAGTTCTTACTTCAAAAAA